TCTTTGTTGCATTTGACAGACCAAGGTCATCCAAAGTTTTTCCATTCACTCCACCCAACCACACACTGTCGCATTGATGCCGATCATCACCTCATTTATTTGACTTTTTCAATAATTTCTTCAGTGATTGTCTGGAGTTTGTCAGAAAAGAGAGAGAGAGGAACATGATTTGAAAAAAATCTGACCCAATCTCCCCCCCCCCTTTCCTTTCTGATTGGTCTACGCCTATGTTTCCGTAACAATCAATCAAGACATTTAAATGTTAATGAGAGAACACATTATACATAACCCTAACCCATACATTCTTAATACACATGCAGGAGGTTTTCAGAATTATCTGTTAACGTTTTCATGACAAAAATAACGTTTTAATGCACACAAAAAATCGATTGTGGTAAACCTGGAAGTAGCTATTATCATAAATTGCACATTATAGGACACATCTGCAGAGAATCTGATTATGGATATAGGTTCAGTATATAAATGATTATGGATATAGGTTCAGTATATAAATGATTATGGATATAGGTTCAGTATATAAATGATTATGGATATAGGTTCTGTAAGGTGACAAAAGAGAGCACGGCATGGAGCATGGACCGAAACTGACCCCGCCAGGACACTAACCAGCTCCGATAAGACTTTGGGAATGTCCCTCCCAGAGCAGACATCTAAGCCATAAAGAGGTCGAACGGAGAGCTCTCATCGGTCATAGAGATAACGACTGTCGGTTTTGGAGCAATGAATCGACTACGGAGCTTAAACATCTCTGCCCCCTTCCCCGACGAGTTCAGAGATCAAAGTCCTGCGTTCACTCCAAGCACACTCTCCCCGGGACAGCTGGCGAGCCACCAACGGCGTTCTGACGCCCCCCAATGGACACTGAACACTATCACACCCGAGACGGACATTCTAAACCATTACTCGTGAAGTCATTATTCTGATAACCTGTACTGTGCCCTACACGTGTGTATCATTGTCAGTAATGTAAATGCGTTGTGTGCCTGTACATGTGTTATGAATGTCGGTATTAATCCTGCATATGCCATTATAACATGTCTGTTGTGAAGGATGTCCAGGGAGGCGCACAAAGATGACGTCATGGACGCGCCTCCTTTGCATGATACAAAACCACCAGACGCACCGAGAATCTTTCTCTTGGAAAACCTGAAATTACTGTAACGACCGGGTACGTGTCTCCTACGCGACCCGCGCCTGTAACCCACTTAGGCCTCTTCACCTCCGCGAGGACAGCCCACGACACCGCTGTCGGAGACCACAGCTATCTTCACCAGCCACTTTCCGGCTCCGGACGTCCCTTCACGCACCGCTATTCTAGACGGCGCATGTGTGTGTGGAATTAAAAGTCTGGATTCGATCTACTGGCTTTCGTCTCCTTTCTGTTCGAACAAAAGGACACGTGGACTGCCCGGCCTCATCATCTTCACCCTTTTCTTCATCCCTCATCCCTCCATCCGGACTGCTCAAAGTAAGACTGTTCTATTGCCACGTTAGTGTGTAATTCATGTGATATGTTTAACATCTCTGTTTAATGTGACCAAACCCCTCCTCGTCGATATTTTTCTATTTTCGTATGTAGTCAATAAACCCACAAAAAATCATCTTTTAAGCGTCCTGTTTCCAATCTTTTGATATCCCTGGCTGATTTCGTACTCATAACCTATCAGATTGTAAGACTGATTCGAGGCAGATTAGTTGGATCTGTGCAGACTTTTTCAAACTCTGCTGGTGCCCAAAATAAAACTCAGATCCCACTTGTGTAGAACGGCAAGACTCTGATCTGGAGACTAGCCGCTCTACACTACAATTTTCATACCCTACATATCAGTATATAAATGATTATGGATATAGGTTCAGTATATAAATGATTATGGATATAGGTTCAGTATATCAATGATTATGAATATAGGTTCAGTAAATAAATGATTATGGATATAGGTTCAGTATATAAATGATTATGGATATAGGTTCAGTATATAAATGATTATGGATATAGGTTCAGTATATGAATGATTATGGATATAGGTTCAGTATATGAATGGGTAACTCAGCGCGGATGTTCAGAATTCTTTGTTCAGTTTTAATAGTTTCAGAGCCTAATGGAGGCTTTATTCGGAGGCTCCGTGAAAACAAACAACTGAGAATGCGCAGCTACGGTACGAGCATGAGCGCCGATGATTGACAGTCCTTGACATGACTCGATTGGTTAAAGTGGACGGCATCGTGGATTTTGAGCTATAGCTAAGAGAAGGGAAGGCGGGACTTACCTGTAATATTAGAATTCATAAAATGACTTATTTTATATCAAAATTTAAGGCCAGGAGGTCAAATTAATTTTTAATCTTTAATCTTTAATGATAGTTCATCTTGAATAGAATAGTACTTAGCGTTGTATTTAAAATAATAAAAAGATGGCACCTGAGTACGCCGTTTGAAGGAGTAGAGCTGAAGTCCATATCCATTATTTTTTATTTAATGTGCACATGTTTTCAGAAAGGGCCAGGCAACTCCTTTGTGGGACAAGACTCAAATTATTTGAAATGTAACGTGATGTGCTGTCATATCCACAATGGAAATAGATACATAACAAATATTACCGTTAAAACAGAGAATTATATTTCATTGAAGGAATCTAAAGAATCATTTAAAACAATATCGGATTGTATTCATCATCATCATCATCATCATTGTCATATCTTTATTCAGACTCAGACTTCTCTTCCTGAGGGCCACATTGGAATATCAGCCTACTGTCGGGGACCAACCTAATTTCATTTTTTTTTCTACCGTTTCATTTTTAACACCTGCATATATTTAATTCAATAATTATATATATTGCGTTGGGGCGAGGGTTGCGGCTGTGGGTCCAGAGCTCTGCATGCAGCACAGAGGGATTTTAAAGTCTTCATACTATAATTATTTAAACTGAGGAAGGCTGAGGGGACCAGATGGAAACGTTCGAAGATACCCAGCCCTCGTGGTAACCTCGTTCATCTTGCTGTACTGCACATACAATCTTCCAATGATGATGAATATTACTCAATAGCCAGGAGTTTATTGTGTATGTCAAATGATCTGCATGGGTACACAATAAAAATCCACAGGAAGCAACATGAGCCGCTGTATCTCTTGTCAAACTGTAAAATATCTGAACCTGTAAATAATAACTGTTATCGTAAAGTCAGAACAGAACAATCAATAGTAACTCCAAAGAATGATTTAGGAATAATCCAATTTAGTAATCCATTCCTCAACTGTCAGATGTAAATGCAGATTACAACTTGTTTCTAAACTTATTTACAACCAAACCATAAACAAGTCTAAGCTAAGTGACAATTAAAGTAACTCTGGCTCCCTCTGCCCAATCAGCTCCCAGACATCTCGGCTGATCGATCCAGGTCCAGGAGAGACGGACTACAAACTGAAGAGAGGGAGTGTAAGTAAACAACAGACAACACCAGGGGGCAGTAAAGAGCTGATTCCAGTTTTTGTTTCAGTACAATGGTTAAAAGTATTTGTATTAATAATGTATGAACTTCTTTATTGTTTCATTACCACAGACTGTATCTAGATGGACAATGCAAACCCTCTAGCTCAATGAAGCCCAATAGGGTAGTGCTCATGGACAAAGTTTGCTCCTACTCGCTCTGAATCCTATTGTCTTACTTTGAGTGAGTAAAGTAAACACCTCCAGCTCAGTAACTGTTAGTGTTGCACTCCCCTTTTTCGGATTAAAAAAATCTATGGTTTAGCGCTGTCTGTGATTCTGGGCTTTTAATTTGATATTGTCTTAGTAAATCCAGATACGATCCACAAGGATTGACCATTCCACCTTGGTTTAACAACCATGATACAACATGTTAGTTTGTAATAAGTAAGCTAACACAGCGTTGTGACAGGATAAATTCCCATATTAGGAAATAGTAAATAAAACATCTGATTCAACAGCAGACAGTCAATTTTCCAAATCTCTTAATGTATTGTAGTTTGCCCAAGATAGATCTTTTGGAGCACGACTTGAATATGCATAAGCACAGTCTTATGTCATGAAGAAACTCGTATGGCAGATGGCTTTGATAAAGGCGATGGCTTCTGGGATATCTGTGTGCTTTGAGCAAGGACCAAAATGAGAATCTTCCACCGAGGGAGACTCTGATTGAGATTTATTAAAACATATCTCAGCACACTGTATGGGCTTTCCCTTTACACATGCCCTTATGTTTAAGGCTTAGGTAGACGTGGCAGGGCTGCGATCCAAGGCCAGATAAGGTAATGATTAACTTTATTGATCCCAGAGGAGGAGCCAAGCCAGGGGAGAAATGGACTCATTACCTCAGCAAAGAAAAAAAGAAAAGATACAAGATTGAGAACGCCAGCGCAACCAGGCGGAATTATTCGATGGGAAAATAGTTTGAGATTAAGATCACCGTTTGTAATCGTGAAATGACGACCAGAATTGAAGTGTGCTGTGTTATGGTGTGGTTTTTATGTGCCTGGTTTTATTTTGTGCATTTTACTTTTCATACATTTTGAGCTTTACTTACTGTTCAGATGATTGTCTTTACCAAAGGTGTTTCATCCCATTTAAATACTCTGTGCTCTCGTTGTCAGTTCTTTCTTTCATCCGTGAATGTTTCAAAGAATTTCCTTCCTTGTGACCGGCAATTTGTAACAAGGGCTTCACAATGGACCACACAATAAAATCAAAATCTCAATTCTCATGGTCAAAATGGCAAGCGTATTTTGAGGATTGTGTCATTATATGTCAAATCATATTTTCTCATATACTGTATTACTGAATCGGTCAAATAATAACATTTTGTGTGAAAACATAAAAATACTCTTTTCTCACAAAAAAGGTACTTTACTTTACTTTATTTACTTTACTACTATTTATTAGTAAATGTAGACCAGCTAAGTCGCAAGCTAACTGTGTTTTTTATAAGTTTTATGCATGCTGCAAGTGACTGCTGGCCCTGATGCACCTGCGTTTTGGGAAAAAAATGCAGGGATTGAGAAGACACGGGGAAGGCACGAGCACCGTGGAGCAGCGGGAGAGGCCCAGACGTCCAGGGGCCCAGGTCGTGCCCAAAAGATCCACAAATAGCGGACTTGGAAAGCAGACCCCGAAGAGCTGGACCCACAGGCGGATCCCGAGAGCAGATCCCGAGAGCGGATCCCGAGAGAAGATCCCGAGAGCGGACCCGGAGGACACTCAATGAAATACTCAATTAAAAGTCCTGTAGCCATATTAATTGAGGATACTTAATTAATAGGGCGACAGTAGCTCAGTTGGTAGAGCATTGGCCTTTGGGCCTGAAGGTCGTGGGTTCGAGCCCACCGTAAAGACCTACTTCACGACTCCCACTGATGACTGCTGTCGTTGTGTCCTTGGGCAAGACACTTAACCCTACTTTGCCCAAAGCCCCCGCTGAAAGATCTCAGCTCCTGTGGACTCACCACCTGCAGGAGGATCAGTGAGGGGCTGGTGCCATGTGTACTGGGTGCAGCTCTGACTGCCACCCCCCCCCGACCCAGAAATGGATTAAGGGGAAGACAATGGATGGATGGATGGACTTAATTAATATGGCTACAGGACTTTTAGGGTATTATTTGTTTATTATAGTTATAACATTTAAATGATAATTTACCCATTAGAAAAGCATTGACTGGAGAGGACAAGAACAAATTTGTGTAGGCCAGGACAATAAAGTGGTAGCTACTCAGGCCACTTCATATTTGTTTTTATAATGTATTAGGCAATAGCTTTAGGTTCCAGATTACTCTTTTAAAACATACAGGACACCAAAATCGTGCAGCCTACAAACTCCCTTTTACCATCCTTCTGAGTTTGAGTGTGTATTTTTTGTTCAAACTTTTATCTCAGTGAGTCCACTTCAGACCTGTCATGGCGCACTTCTCCAAACAAACTCCCACACGACAACACCGCTGTTAGCTGCTCGTCTGCCAGCCATGAGGCTCATTAGCACGCTTGTCGATACAGTGGTCTTCCTCCCATTAGCAAAACACACAAGCACATCAATACAGCACAACAGGGTTTTAGCGCCTGATTCAACCACTGCCCTAATTAACTAACGAATCAAGTCGGAGAATTGGAAAACATGAGTTGCACACAAAGTTGGCTGGAGTGGAGAAAGAATTGTTCATTGATTGTTACTTTGAGCATTTCTAGAACCCGGGTTTGGAGGGACATGCACCTTCCCAGCTCCAATTATAGCACTTGCTTTACTGAGTTGTCAACCACCAGGTCATACAAGCTTTACAAACAGTATGATGAAAAGTCCACCAACAACTATGTAGGCTGACAGGGTCTGGCTGGAGAGACAGGTGGGCTGCGTCGACGGGAGAGTTTGAACAAAGAATGGGACACAAAAAAGTAAACGTGGGTAAAGAGATATGAAAAATATTATAGGAAAAGGACGATGGTATTAATTTTGCTATGTTAATAATACAATAAGGATAACCACATGATTCCTTCTTTTGAGTCAAAAATACAATTCCAACAAGACTTTCTTTATGTCCTCTCTCATATTTGTGCCATCTACAAAGAAATCATAATGTATTTTTTCCCACAACTTAATGTTAAAGTTTCAATTCTAAATATTTTGAAGGGTGGAGCAAATTGGTTTTGGCACGGGCATCTGTTTCGGACGCCTCCTGGATCCCCCGTCTGTGGAAGGGCCTTGGGAGGAGAAACCAGGTTAGGTCAAGATTCAACTTAAATGTCCCCCTAAGGAAAATGTGTCTTGCTCAACACTAACAAGACACTCTCAGCATTAGAACAATCTGCTTGTCTGCACTACATCAACACACGAGCATGCCATAATACTGCACAGTCCCATCAGGGCAAGGATACAAGGGCGGCACCCGGCTCAAGGGGTCCGTGAACACGTGCACTGACATGCTTGTAATGTGACTTCTTGCCGGTGGTGGTGTACCCGGAAACAGAATTTTCCAATGAATTCCTATGCTGCCATTTTTCCCTGTCAAAAACTGCTTTACAGCCTGGTCCAAAAGTCTGCTCTTTGCTTGACGCTATTTTCCAGATGCGTGTCAATGATGAGGGGGGTATTTTTTTTTGGACAAACCTAGTTTAGTCGCTGTAGACTTGTAAATGCACTTGTTAAATGAATGGCATGTGTCCGGCTAACCCATGCACACATGTTTTTTCACCATTTTCCTGCGCAAGGGGGCACTCACTGCCATTTTCAAAAAGTCGGCATGAGGGAAAAGTGATCACACATAAGTTTCAATGGCAGCGATAGGTCTTATCTGTGCCACTATACCTGTGTTCTGCTTCCAAACAATGTGTGTCAGAGATTGTAAGCATGTTTTTGTGTGTTCAAATGTGCACATCTCAGGGTGCACAGCACGGCCAAGTCTAAGCCAAGCTAAATACAGACCCAGAAGAATTCACTGAAAGATCATGTCACGTCTGCGGACGTCGAAGCGGAGCAAGACAAACACATCCATCGGCTCCGTGCCACAAGATGACAAGTGCAGTCGAGGTGTGTTGGCCCAAAAAGGACATTAATTAAAATAATGCTTTAACCCTCCCTGGGGTTTGTAAAGAGTATATAAATAACTTCTGAAAGGATGTAAAGCAGACAGGTCGCCTGCACTGTCCAAGTGATGTCTGTGTACAATATACAGTATGTGCATAAAGACTTCTCTTCACAAACCACAAGTTAGTATTAGTTAGTAGTATTTGTTCTTGTTGTATATCTCAGACTCATTATGTACATCTCATTGTTATAGCCAAATTGGCTTTGATTATTCCAGGATCCTAATAACTGTGTTTTTACAGAATTACCCTCTGGCCACCAGGGGTGTGTGATAAAAAAAATAATAATAATGATTTTAGAGAATAATATACAAAATATGACAACAGATGCAAAACACCTTTCTGAGTAGAGTTAGCATGTTCTTACTTGGTTTTCTGGTTTCTCCTACCTCTAAATACGCTAAAACTAGCCTTGAGTAGCTCTTTAGAGATACCCGCCATCCATCCCATTCAAACAAATAAATACAATTCAGTCTATCTTGTTTACTGCATCGGGAAAAAGCCATCCTGAAGAAGAAATACAACTCTGATTAGATCAAACTATAAACTGGGCCTGCAGATAATAATGAAGACGGCCCCGTTGAAATGACACAACACGCACACCACGTTAATCCACCTCTTTTGTATCACCCCATGATAAAGTGCTGGCTAAGATTCCCCCTTTATTATATTTGGGTTCACAGGGCCACAGTGCAAAACAACTTCATAAATAATTGATGTTATTTCAAACACCCACTGAAGTGCATCTATGGCTGCTGAGCCTGGACGGAAGAGCCCTCGCCAACATCACCAGGAAATAAGCACACACAAGCACACACACACACACACACACACATACATTTATTTTAAGAATAATTGGACCTTAGACCCTACGGTGTGCTGTACTACCTTCGCTTTATTGTCTCCTTCAAGCTATTGCCCCATCTATCTGTCTCAGGCAAGTTAAAAAATAATAAGTCTTCCAAAAGCACACGCCTCTCCACGGTTGGTTTTGCTTGCATCCTTCCAGGGGACTGTATTTATTTCACAGCCCATTCTCCAGCCTCATTAAATCCATTATGCTGTGGCGCTCCCCCAACACAAGTCACAAGGGCACTAGCTCATCACTTCTACTCGCAGATGAGATGCAGAGCCGGGGCCGGAGTTGCTGCTCTTGACTGCACGGTGTAGAGGCGCTCTGTGGGTAGTCTCCCTTCCATACTGCAGGGCCTGACTTTGTATAAGGACACAATAAATAAGAGAGGAAATGATTCGGGACAGTTACAGCACAGGCAAGGGAGCTGCTGTTCAGCTCTATAACTGAGCTGAACAGTGACAATGGAAGCTGTTTCATTTCATTTTCAATTCAGTTAATGCTTGTATTGCCCTAAATCACAACAGTAGTTCAATCGGAGGAATACTGTTGAGAAGTTTCACTTGGACTACAAAACAGTTCAATTCATCAACACATAGAGCCATTGGTCCATAAGGAGAAGATGACCAAAGTCCATAAATGTTGTTTAGGGCTCAGGCTACAGAGCGAGGACCGAGGACCGAGGCCATACGGTGCAGGACTCAGGCTATAGAAAGAGGACAGAGGCCACGTAATGCAGGACAGAGGCTATTGACGAATATTCACAAAATGCTGCACATCAGACAAAAGAATATGCACTCAGGAATCATAAGGATGACCAGCTTACAAACCAGACAATTATTGACTCCAAGAATAAACAAATGCTCTCTCCCACTCTCGAGGAGGGCAAAAGTCCAACACAATCAGGCGCCCAGTGATGGGGGCCATTGTTTGCTCAGGCTGATATGGAGGACCAAGACCTGGACCAGGGTCCAGACCGGAGACCAGACCAGAGACCATGTGACGTCATCGGACATGTTGATAAAACCGGGGGTAGGACAGTCTGAGGGAGAAGAGCAGGGATAGAGACAGAGAACATGGCAGAGCGCCTGCATGTTCTCTGCACATTTTCAGGCCTGGAGGGAAAGTTTTTAGGATGGCTCAGCATAGGGTTAGTTTTAGAGAATTAATGGCTCCAAGGGTTTTGTATCGATATTTAATTGTAAAGAGAATTAAATGTTCTATTTTTAACTCTTGCATTCTTGGCCTTATTTCTGTATCAAATTCTGAACACGTCAGTCAAATTGCTTTTGACGACACTATAGAATGAGGACACGTGATGCAGGACCCCCCCAAGTCGGGAGGGGGTGGGGCCTATGAGTTGGGCGCAGGTGCTGAAAAAGGAGGCCGGGTTCAGGGGTCCCATCATCACGCGAAGTTTGCATTTAGACAGATCAAGAACGGGGATGTTTCAAGGAGGATGGAGTTGCCCGTTCCCTTGGCGTCAAAAGCCCAAAAACAGCCTTCATCTTGTAAGTGACATTTCATATAATTTAGTTTCAGTATATTAAGTAACTAGGGTCCTGTTGGGTCAAAAATACAATCTCAGCTGGGTCAAGGACAAAGACTTGCAATGTTCTGTTAAGTCTAGGCCTTTTGAGGTTTTGGTATTACCTTGAGCACGTAAGCAGCCGAGATGACTTTATGGTGATATAGAACTAAGTGTCTAAAAGGCTTACATATAATTCTCAATATACATTTTAATTTCCGTATGTTTACACATCAGGACATATGGTAAGATGTGC